ATTCAGCAGAAATAAATTATAATCAGTGATACGTATGCGGACGATATTAACCACTTCCCACTTTTGACCGAACACCGTTCGGGTACTTGAAAAGGGGCCTTCCCTATTTTGCCCGAGCGACTGATGATTTGCGTGCGACTGCAATGATTTACCCGAATTTTTTCTTTCTTTAGTTTACAATGTTTCTAACAGATGGCTCTGGTAGTTCATTAGAGGTATGATTGCGAAAGGCTTTGGCGCTTTTCTGTTACGGAGGAAAATACGTGAATTTTGTTTTCAGTAGCTTAGTAGAAAAGTCAACTTTAAGTCAAAATGCAATTGTTTTTGCTCTAAATAAAAATTATTTCATAAAATCAATAATTGTAATAGTTTTGACTCTTGATTTGAGTTTATATAATCGATTTTAACAGAAATTTGTTTCTCAAAAATAAGCTTATTTTTTGACCCAATTTGCCAGAAAAAAGACGCTGTTAATGACATTTATCAGTAATCAGCCAGTTCTTAAAAATCACGAATAATAGCAAAAGCTCACACACCAACAGTAATGACAGCTTATGTCCTTTGAACAACGTAAGCCAGTGTCAGTTTTATGTTTCAGTAAGAAAAGACACATAATGAGAGTTCCTATAAACAATCATGGGTCAACATGAAATATGACTCATCTAAGTTGCTAACAAGTCAGATAATAGCAGTTCTCGTTGGCAGTCACAATGAGGAACATGGTTGTTCTAGAATGTAGATCATAGTTCTACTTCATTTTAGACATTCATCAATCTATCAATTATTTTCACTGCTAAGTGATGATGTACAATGTATACAATAACATACCTGTCAACTCTTCCGGATTTTCCGGAAGATTTTGCTTTCATATTTAAAGTGGTAGTAAATATATACTATTTTTTTCTTTTATAAACTTAATTTTTAAATGATTTTGATCACCACTATTCTAACAAAAATTAAGCACATATATTAATATGCGTTACTATCACAGGTGTCAATATAAGTTTGCTTATATATAACGTATTTGTTTGCTTAAAATTGAAGTTTTAATTCCATTTTAATACCACTGGGAAAAATGATAATGGAAGGGATTAAAAGTTGGCAGATATGCAATAACGTATCGCTGGTTCAAAACTAAAACGACACTTCAGCATTCACTTCTCATTGAAATAACATGAGAAGTGAGTGCAGAAGTGTCGTTGTAGTTTTGAACCAGTGATATGCTCTTGTAGTTATTATTATAATACTAGTGGGCTGTGCCCCCCTGCTCGCTAACGCTCGCCAACCCCCGAAAATTGCTACGCAATTTTATATGGTTTGCTTCGCAAACCAAGCTCGCTTCGCTCGCTACTAACTTGAGTACTTTGCAAATGCACAAAATTCTAAGAATTCAAAACAATCATTCAAATCCATATAACAACTTTTTTTAAAAAAAAAAATTACATCTTTTTAGTAAATACTAAGTCATTAAAATAAATTTGAATTCAAATAAATGACATGTAATTCGTTAAACCTATTAGAAATGTGCTATAGTATAAAATCTTAAGATAAAATTTCTAAAACTGATATCTCTTTAAAAAGGTTAAAATTTTGGCTATAATTAAGTCTATTAAAAATTTAAATAAGAGAAATTGCAATGGAAAAACCCTGCATAAACAAAACATTGAATTTCGGAAGAAATCTCGTTTGGTGAGAATGCTCTCTCTTGTCAAAAAATACAAAATAAACTGACCTCAAATAAAACTCCAAGGACTTCGAATCAAATAATTAAGGAAACTACTATCACGTTTAATATAAAAGGAAGATTTATTAACTAAACAATAAAATTACAGCATCGCAGTTCCAAAAAACAAATCTCACACTCACTCAAAAAAACAATTTACCTTCTAATTAGTCACCATAGCAACCACAAAACTCTTCTCGTTACCATCTATAAACTTATATATAATAAATAAATTATTTAGCAAAAAATACGATGCGCATAAGCACATAATATTTTACACTCTGGTTATTTCAGTTTCCGTTTTTAGAAGCGCTATATGTTGAGCCACCCAATCCAGATTTGGCATGTGACATTTTTAGCGGCAATTATTGGTTGGTTTTCTAGCGTTGCCATTCGGGGAGTTGTAATGAGGCTTTTTTTTATCGCCGTGTAAGAGAAATATATATATAGATTTTGTAATCATGAAAAACCTGCTTTTAAAGATTTAGGGTTGAAAAGCTCTAATAACTGCATTTTTCACCAACTTTGATTCATCATAAAGCTAAAAAGTCTCTTTGCCCCATGGAAACGAGTGAATGTCAATTACTAGACAGAAGTATATCAATAATATAGCAAAACAAAACTTTAGAGGTGTAGTAGCTTTCTTTAGTTAAATAACTTCAAACATATTTACTTTTAACTTAAGAAATGACCCTGAACAACCTTGAAATTTTCTGCAGAGGAATTATTTAAAGGATCTAAAGCTTACACAGTATTTATTTTCTGAGGGCTATTTTAACATAAAAAAAAATCGGACTAAAACAGAAAAAATACAACTACCAAAATTTAGCTTTTTTTGTCGAATTAAAACTAAACTAAACTCAGTGGCTCGACAGCCCATACTGGGCCAAGGCCTACTGTGCCAACGCCTCCTATAACTGAAAGCCTCCACACAGCTTTTTGTAAGTAGTCCGATCACAGCACTATGAAGGTAAATCAATTAGTTAAAGAGCCATTTAATATGAAATCTATTAAAAATTTGAAAGTGGTAGCAAATATATGTCTAAAAATTTGTTTAATTTATAAATATAATTGGTTTGTTTTATTTACTTGTCTACCACTACAGATTCAATTCTCAAATATATGTGACAGATTTCTCTCAAGTACTTTTAAAACTGAATTTGGGTTCATGCGCACAAGTGGATCGCTTTCTATATAATCTGCTCAGACTACCTATAAGAAACCGTGTGGAGGCTTTAGGATGTAGGAGGTGATGACTGTGCCCATCTCAGTTTTCTTGACTTTGGGATCTGGGGTGCAGGAGCAGATGTTCCGGTTAGGTGGTCAGCCGAACGCGAAACCCCCAGTGCTTAGTTCCCAAGCAAGATTGGTACTCATTTATCGACCCACTGAAGGGATGAAAGGCTGAGTCAACCTTGCCCGGCTCGAAGATGAAACCCAGGACCTGTGGCACAGGAGCGCAAAGCGCTACCACTCAGAAACCGGGTGTCTTTTGTCTAATTCAGAACAGGAAATTTGTATTGAAAATTTTAGTCAGGCAGAACCTTAGCAAGTGCGACATTAGACTGTAATTTTAGTGAAACGACTTTAGCTCCTTGCTGTTTGAAGAATCCTCTTCTTCTTTAGTTATGCTAGCTGGCCATCTGGGCCGCAAAGCTGCCCCTATCCCATCCATCATGATTTATTTATCATTGTGTGAGTCTTTGTGGTCAGTAGGCAGTGTGGTAGCTACGAGGTTGATAAAAAGAGTCCCAGTGTTTTGATTTTATTGGACACCTGCTTAAAAGAGTAGTGATTGCTAAATGTTTAAACTCAATTAGTTTTACATTTCTAGTGGTTTGTAACATTTGTTGAATTAGTGTTGCCAACCCGGCTACACTGTTCCGGAAAGGGTTAAACCATCACCTCCTAGAGGAACGAAGGCCTCAGCACGGATCAATTTAGTAGTTCGACGTGACGAACATAAACTGCGCAGTCGATTAAAAAGAAGAAAGATGCCACTACGTTTGGGCTGCCAAGTTGCGTAGCGGTGGAAAATACGAAAGATGTCATTACGTTTGGACTACTAAAGGATCAAATTTCTTGTTTATGGTAACCCGTGCTAAGGCCTTCTCTTTTCTAGGAGGTATTGGTTAAACACGTATCTTATTTGAAAAAAAAATTAAGTTAAAACGTTCTTTCACTAATACAGCTACTCAATGGCATTTATAGAAATCTGACATACAGTGGGTAAGAATGATTAGAAGGTGAGTGATTTAAAATTAAGTAAGTCTATTTTCGATTCGTCTTAATATTCAGTGAAACAACGCTTTGCTGTCCACCCTTTGGGAGTTAAGGTACACGAAATTTTTTTTACAGAGTAAGAAAGAAACGCCAGTTTTTATTCGTATAAGAATATTTTACCGCAGTATCTGCTTTGTGTTCTACTTTCTCAGTTATGTAATCTAATTCTTCTTGTGTAATATGGGGATGCTCATTTGGAGATTCATACACAAGAAAAATCCATACGATGAACCAGACAACCACCGACAAACCTGGAATAAAAGGGAAAAAAAATGAAATTCTGAAATGATCCCACAATCAATTTCAATATCTTACGATTAAAACTAATAGCTGTGCGGAAATGTTTTTAAAATTATGCGTCAAGGTTGAGGCAATTTTTTAAAAAAATTATGTGGACAGGTTGTGGACGAACAAGAAAAACACCTAAACCCCCCCAAAAAAAAACACTTTTCATTTTTTTTTAATAAAAATTTTTTATAAGAGTAAATATTTTATCTATGTTTCCTTAAATCAGGACTGATATTTATCTTGAAACGATAAAAAACATCGTAATTTCTGCTTGCTTCTGCTAAAAAATGTTTTGTGACGTGAACAACATAGCAGTTTTTTTCCAACATGGGGCTTGACTTGATTTGATCTGGTAATTGGCGAAGTACCCGTCTGCAGAAACGGGCACCTGACTTCTAAATCAGTAATTTGCTCTAGGGCAACTGGGACTAAATAGCATTGATATTTGGAGAAAAATGAGGCAGTTGGTGGCTGAAATAGCATGCTGTGGTGCACAGTTTAAGTAATGATTTATAAGTAAAGATATAATAAGAAATAAAATATATAAAAAGCTTTATAAATATCAAATAATGNGTTTGATTTACAAAATAATTTTAAGAACTATTGCGTATATTCATCCTAAATTGATGATTCTTACATTATGTTGTATCGAAAAAATAACTTTAATGAGTCTTACGCTTATTTTATCCCGCAGTAATTATAAATTTCAGAGCTACTGAATAAAAAAAAATTATAGCGACAACTTTACATAAAGTAGTGTAGAAGAACATTCTTGATGCAGTGAAAACAACACTTTGCTGTCCACCTTTTGGGCGTTAAGGTGCACGAAATTTTTTTTACAGAGTGAGAAAAAAAGGCAGTTTTTATTGGTATAAGAATGTTTTACCGCAGTATCTGCTTTGTGTTCTACTTTCTCAGTTATGTAATCTAATTCTTCTTGTGTAATATGGGGATGTTCATTCGGAGATTCATAAACAAGAAAAATCCATACGATGAACCAGACAACCACCGACAAACCTGTAATAAAAGGAAAAAAAATGAAATCCTGAAATAATCCCACAATCAATTTAAATATTTTACGATTAAAACTAATAGTTACGCGGAAATGATTTCTAAAATTATGTGGATGACCTAGAAAAACATCTAAAACAGAAAAAAACAAACAATTTTCATTTTCTTTTAATAAAATTTTTTTTTATAAGAGTAAGTATTTTATCTATGTTTCCCTAAATCAGGACTGATACTTATCTGGAAACGATAAAATAAACATCTTCAGTTTTACTTTATTGTGATGTGAACAACATAGTAGGTTCTTCGCAGTACTTGAACACAAACATGCCTTGCATGGATACAGTACCTCCTATCTGAGCGAACGCCTACTATAACTGAAAGCCTTCACACGGTTTTCTGCAGGTAGTCCGATCGGAACACAATGAAGGTAAACAACTTTAATCCCTTGGGGACGGGTGATTCAGAAAAGCATTCGTACAAAATCAGAATCAGGTTGTAATTAAATAAAAAACGGTAACTTAAATGTAGTCGTTGCTAATTTGACAGATTTACTTTGCTTTTACTTTAATTATTGTTAGTTTAATCATACATATAATCAATGTTAATTCAAAGTATAATTAAATACTTTTATTTTGAACTAAAGTAATGATGAATTAAATAAATCAAACAAGTATAACTCGGCCCACAAATTAACTGCTAAAGAAATACTTTACTTTGAATACCAGTTTTATCTTTTTTCTCTGATTGATACGGTTTTATGCTGTCACGTATTTCGGACAGTCGGCGCGAAATGGTTAAGAAAGAAGCTTTTAGTACAAAATCTAGTAAAAATAAGATAGTGGTAGCTAATATATAACTAATTTTTTTAAAAAGTTTTTGAATATGATTGATTTGTCTTATTTACAGATTCAATTTTCAAATATATATGATAAATTTCTCTCATTTACTTTTAAAATAGAATTCGGATTCATGCGCACAAGCGGTTCACTTTTTAAATAGTCTGAGCAGACTACTTATAAAAAAACCGTGTGGAGGCTTTCTGATGTAGGAGGTGGTGTCTCAGCTGAATTAAAATTTACGAAATAACAAAATTGTATTTAAATTTACGTTCATTTAATTTTTAAAAATATTTAACAATATTAAATTCAAATAATTGGTGAGAGCTAATTAAAATAGGATCCCTAGAAGTACAATCAAGGATTGCATTGAATTAATATTTAAATAAAAGTTAAAAATAAAATATTGAAAAAAAATACAAGAAAGATCATTAAACATTAAAATTTAAAACAAAATTAAATTTGAAACACCCATACCTGCCAACTTTCACTCTTTCCGAGAATGGACTTTCCAAGTGGTAGTAAAACAATGAACGAAAAACAATCTTACTCAAAAATATAATTGTATTTGACTACGTTGAATATTGCGTTGGTATTGCTTTCGTATTGGTTATTATGCTTTTATATATTTATTATAATTATTTATATGTAGTGGTGGTCAAACTCATTTATAATTATCATTGCAATTCAAAAAGTTAATTGGAACAACATGAGTCTCGCTACCACTTTAAATATGAAAATAAAACCTTCCGGGAAAACCGGAAGAGTTGGCAGCTATGCCATTCGATATAGTGAAAAGCGAGATGCCTAAGCAGAGCCAGTGAAGAAAAATCAAAACACAAAGCATAAACAGCTGTGCAAATTAAAATTGATCAGAGGATTCTTCGCAGCAATTATCTATCAATAATGCATCTTTTGCTCATTAATAAGAAGTGGTAGATTTGGTGAGTTTATTTATTCTTCCGATGAAGATATTTGACAAATATGTTTTTACGATAGATTTCTACTTTTTGTTTATAAGTTTGGTATTTCCTTGTCAGCCCACTGCTGGATATTGATGTTAACTCTTTTAAGTCTAAGGAGTATTCTTGCGTCCTGATAAAGATTTTATGAAAACTCTGTTTATTTTAAAATTTTTAGCCATTGTTCTCTCCCTCTAATAGTTATCTTTCGCAGAAAACTCAAATGTTGGAGGGTATGCAATTATTTAGTGGTAGTTGGCTATTATTAGTCATATGAATAGAATCAGAATTGAGATGAGAAAATAGAATTTCGATGCGGCAAAATAGAGTTATTTGAATAAAAACATAATTTTTAGGGGAAATAGAATTTCAACATAGCTATATGATTAAAAACAAAAATTTAAGAAAAACTTCAATTTCAAAGTAAGAAAATAAAGTCATATAATTAGAAATAGAATATCAATATGGGAACATTGAGTGATTAGAACAGAAATTTGTTGGAAGATAGATATCCAATATGGGGATACGGAGCCCTATGATTACAAGCATAATTTCGAGGGAATATAGAATTTCACAAATAGGAAGCTTGGTGGTATAGTAAAATATCTTCGGTAACTATTCGAAAGGAAATTTACCAGGAAATTATGAAAGGAAATTTACCAGATATATAAAATACAGCAGGCCATCCACCAAGGAAACCACTTTTCATTAAAGGTCCAGAAAGTGTATAAGTTGCTACAGTTGCAAATGCAATACCGTTGTAAATAAAGGCATTTACTCTGCTACGTTCAATGTTTGGTATCCAGTTTGTTACTAAACAGTGTATGTTGGGATAAGTAATACCCTGAAAAATGAAATGCTAAATTCATAACAAATACATGAAAGTAGGGTTCAACATTTCCAATCTTATCAGTTTTTATTAGAATTATATGACAATGCGAGTAAATTGCTCGTGTTGTCATATAATTCTATGACAATACGACAATATTATATGACAATACGAGTAAATAAACTGTCGTAATTATTTTTAAGCAATTAGATTCTTATAGAGACGGAAGTTTGAGTTAGGTAGGTACTTCATTTACGTCGCACTAGAGCTGAATAATAGGTAATTTGCGGCTGTCAGGGAAAGAAGATATTCCATCACAATTTTGATCCTCTGCAGAGGAGGTGGCTCTTCCACTTTAGTAGGACGACCCACGCGTGAAATAGAGTACTTTACGGTAGAACAGTTTAACGAGGACCGATACCGCATACCCTTGGTCTCTATACGGACTGATCAAAGTGGTCACCCACCCTAATACTAATCGCAACCAGTGATGCTTGATTTCGGTGTTCAAGTGGGGACTGTGTCTTTACGATCAGTCCATTGCGGGATTACTGAAATTCTAAAAGCTTCGTTAAAAGTATGAGGATCTCGTATTTTAAATTTGGTTTTTAACTACATCATAACATCCTTTTATTTTACACAGATTTCAAATTAAGAGTTTAAGAAAATGAACATGCATATCAAATTATGCACGTTTGATAAAATGGCCACGGTTCCAAATAAGTGTTTAAGAAAGGTGTCATAGCGTGTTTGAAAAAATGAGCGTTGAAGCCGACCCATTCTAGGAAAAAACAGAAATTTTACAACTGATATTTTGATGTAATTTTAAAACTTTTTGAAATTAAGTCTACATTTATTTTAAAGGGATATATTTTAAAATAAAAGAAGAGTTCACTAATGAAGTAATTCTAATAGTATACATAACTTATTTGAGAAATTTAATTGTAAGATAAAGTGATGTCCACAAACGTGACAGCCATTCACAGAGACTTAATTTTTGTTTTTAGTTGTTAATGAAGGATTTAATATCTCTAGCTATTGTTCTCCAATGCAAAAAACGTGTTTCACGAAGAGAGAAAATGATTTTCCCTACGAGATAAAATATGTTTCACCAGGAGACAAAATGTTTTCCACCACGAGATAAAATGTGTTTCACGAAGAGACAAAATGTTTCTCATCAGGAGATAAAATATGTTTCACCAAGATACAAAATGTTTCTCATCAGGAGATAAAATATGTTTCACCAAGATACAAAATGTTTTTCACTACGAGATAAAATGTGCTTCGCGAAGAGACAAAATGTTTCTCATTAGGAGATAAAATATGTTTCACCAAGAGACAAAATGTTTTCCACGACGAGATAAAATGTGTTTCACGAAGAGACAAATAGTTTTTCCCTACCAGATAAAATATGTTTCACCAAGAGACAAAATGCTTTTCACTACGGGAAAAAATATGTTTCATCGAGAGACAAAATGTTTTCCACTACGAGATAAAATGTATTTCGCGATGAGACAAATTGCTTTTCATTACGAGGTAAAATATGTTTCTCCAAGAGAGTAAAATGTTTAGCAATACGAGATAAACTGTGTTTCACCAAGAGGCAAAATGTTTTCCACTACGAGATAAAATGTGATTCACCAAGAGGAAAAAAGTTTTTTCACTGAGAGATAAAACGTATTAAGAGTCTTTTTAAAAATCTTACCGCTCCCAATCCTTCTATAGCTTTACTTGCAATCAGAGCTCCAACATGCCAACGGGCGCACACTGGTGCCAAAAGAGACATGACACCTGAAAGGAGTCCACCAAAGGCAAGAATCCATTTCGATGCATGTAACTTTGATCCCAAAATGGTAAATGGTATTGGAGTAAACACTGAGCCGATTTGGAAGGCACCCAGAAGATTTCCTTGCAGTGGACGACTCCAATTAAATTCTCCTCCATGTAACTGAAATTAACAAGAGTCAGAAATTAGTTTATCAGATTCATGGATACCGAGCTATGATAGAATTACCCTATGCTGACGAACGATAAGGATATATATA